AAATCGATTTTTCGAAGTTTGCCACGTTTTGCTCGATGGTTACAGACAGTCACTCTTAAGTTACAAAGCATTTTAAAGCTGTTTGTGCATTCTCTGTTTATAGCTTTATTCAGAAAAATGTTGCCCCTGGTAATAGTCATTAGTATTTACATTCTTCGTCATCACCAACATTGCTGAAAGCACTATCGACATCACCATCATTACCAGTAACATCATTATTACTAACATCACCCTGCATCGCTGTCAGCTGTTACCATCATTGACATCATCATCATTGTTGTTACCAGTACCATCATCATTACTAACATCACCCTGCATCGCTGTCAGCTGTTACCATCATTGACATCATCATCATTGTTGTTANTCATCATTGTTGTTACCAGTACCATCATCATTACTAACATCACCCTGCATCGCTGTCAGCTGTTACCATCATTGACATCATCATCATTGTTGTTATCAGTAACATCATCATAATCAGCATCATCACCATCACTTTCAGCTGTTACCATCATTGTCATCATCATCTTTGTTATTACCAGTACCATCATCATAATCAGCATCATCACCATCACCAGCAAAATCATTATACTCATGAACATGAGCTAATGCATCCAGTTCACTATCATCATCATCATCATCACCACCATCATCATCACCAGCACAATCATCATAATCATGAACATGAACATGCATCCTTCTCTTAATAGTAAAACATAATATTCAAGGGAATGGCAGGTGATCTAAATGCCAAACTTCAAACACTAACTAACTCAGGGGTCTATAACAGTTAGCTTCATGCAGAACAAACCATACAGCATAACTAATCTACAAACTATCTTTGCAAGCAAAATCCATCGATTTGGATTAGTTAACCATAGTAATTTTTAAGTTTTTAAAGAGACTAGACAGGCCTTAAATTAGCCTAAAGCTGTGGTAAGCTGTCAAGAATATTCTAGAACAATATTTGCATTCTGAGAGAGAGAGAGAGCTATTTTTAATTGCGTTCTAATCTGAGCACTATTTCTATGTGTGTTCTAATTGGCTTTGACTAATTTAAATATTCCCAGAGTGCTTCTGATTGGCTGACCTTGACATTTCTGAAGGTCAACTCAACTACCTTTTGATTATGATATAAAGAAAAGCTATTATAAAAGTCAAAAGTTTTTCCATTAATAATAAGTTACCAATTGAAACATTTTGATAAATTTATGTTAAATTAAAAATCCTCATTTTTAATGGAATAGAAAAAATATAGTTCCATTAAATGAAAAACTTTTTAAATCACTTTGTTTCTTTTTCTTTTTTTTCTCTAGAATATTTTTCCTTGATTTTTGAATAAGGCTTTTTTGGTATTTATATGACTTAACTCTTTCTAGCTGAAATCAACCTATGTGTTGATGGCAGCATTTTCAATCACTGAGTACAATCTGACATGGACCTTACTAGCTACAGCTTAAAATGTCTGGTGATAAATTTGTTATTCTGTACCCTTGCATTCTCCAATGTCACCATTTTCATCCATTTGATGGACAGTTGATTACCTTATTACCACTGCTTCATATATGGAGCTTAAGATAACAGTCTGTGAGTCGCTGGTAATGACGAGCAGTGAAATTAGTTTTAGCTTGGTTATACCTCATTTCTGGCTCAAAGTTACCAGTCAAAATGAGTGGCATGGCAACGATTTGACCAGACAAGTTCCAATTCTGGGCAGACATTGTCATATGTCCGGCCGTTATTTTAAGCCCTGATATATGAAGACCTCATAACTTTGGGTATAATATTTTCCCATCCCAGACCATGTGTCATTCTTTGACAATGAGATTTTTAGTCAAGCTGTAATATCCATATCGATGTGCCTTCTTATGCATGGCCATTAAACAAAGAAATTATACTTTAGGGAATAACACAGTCTGAAATGTGCAACCATTATTCCCAGGCTTAAGAGAACTATTTTAAATCTCAATCTCAGGTGTTAATCTAAGACATGTCAGCRTTCGGAGTAGCAGTGGGGTACAAAATAAATGAAAATTGTTTTGCAGCAAAGAATGCAGCAAACAAGTATATGCCATGCACCAGAACGTAGCAGATATATACAGCTATTTTGAAGGAGGTTGAAGGTTTTTCAGCATGAAGCATGTTGCTTACCAAACTTGAAATGTATTGTATTCATATTATGTAAATAATGTCAGCATAAAAATATGCAAGAAAAACATGCAGAGAAAAACCTTAGTAAAATATTGAGAATAAGAGAAAAATATCAAATGCCCTTGGTGGGAATCGAACTCACGACTTTGGTATTCCAGTCCAATGTGTTAACCACTACACTTCAAGGACCAACCACGCTGGTAACGCAGCCAGAATATGAAATGTAGGGTACTTGTGAGGATCCCAGAGCGATATTTTTTCTCTGTAGTTAAGTTAAACATTAGTAAAATATTATTGTGACCTTTCACTGATTCAGAATTCACACCACCCATAGTGCAGTTCTGGCTTGGTATGCACATATAACATACAATGAAACCATCACCAACCTTGAAATACCTGTATACATCTAATCTAATCTATAAGACAATTAAAACCTAACCAAATAATTTAAATCTTTTAAATTCTAATGACAAACCGACAATGTTAGGTTGCAGCTATATCATTTCCAGTGGAAACCAGAGGCTGCTTATTTCATGTATTTCAAAATGGCTCCCACAGCRTATAGCAGCTCTGCTTGCATTCTTGCTTCTAGGAGGAGAAGGTTTATGTGCACCTAGAAAAAACAAATATTAAGAATTAATCATTAATGTGATGATAGTCATTTTAGTGGTGATGACTGATGATGGTCATGATAATGATGTGGATGATGATGATGATGACAATGATAATGCTAGTGATGACTGCAGCCATTGATAATAGTGGTAACATTGATGACGGTGGAAGTATGATGCCATTATGACCAATGATGTTTGTAGTGGAATGCACAATTAATGACAACAAAAGCGTTGATGATGATTGTAATAACCAAAGAGTGCATTAGGCCAAACAAAAAGAATAAGTGTGTTTCCTGTTGCGCAACCAACCCTAATTTTCTTGCCGATTTTTGCCAACCCTTATATTTTTTCAATTCCAAATGCACCACAGGGTTCCCAGTAAGCTCATTTCCACTGTTGTATCAGTAAAAAATAAAACCTGACTTACCAACCCCAATTATTTTTCTCATGCAACAGGAAACACTTATTTTTTTGTTTGGCCTGAGTCAAACATTTTGCCTCACCCTTTCTGAGTGTGTTAGCTGCGGCATAAACTCCATGTAATCCATTTGAGTAACCTTTTCTGGACAAGTTGCAACCTAAGAGCCATTAAAAATGTGTGAATATATTGACACTCAATGAGGCTAACCTCGAGTATATAAACCTTCCCTTTCACATCATCCTTCTTTATTGACACAAATTACTAATTTCTTTAATTATTGGTCCAAATTTTATCACTACATGTACCCTGAAACAACCTCTGGGATGATCAAAGCCAGGGCACGGCTAACTTCAATTGGAATTTAGCATGATGGCTTTGCAGAGGGGGGAGGGAAGAAGCCCTAAATTTTTTTACTTATAATGGCCATAAAAAAACGAATAGTCCCTTATGTTACCAAAAGTAAATAAATCAAGGAACACAGCAGATTTTTTACGAAATTGAACTCTTTTGTATGGCTAATACTTACCATTTTTATATATCTCTTGTAAGATTTTTCCATTAATTTATTAACCTGAAAAACAACAATATATTTTTTTGAGTGGCTACCTCAATAATTTACTCTTACAGTTATTAAATTAAAAAGAATGAAAACAACTTCTATGTCTGTGCCATTTCTTTAAAATTAATGCTGTTGCAATTACCTCTGTGTATAGATAATCATCATGATAAATGCCGAAGACTAAGTGGATATAATTCCATGTTGCAAGTCTAAACACTGTTGTGTCGACATTGGTCTTGTCTCCAAGCCTACATTATCAACATCAAAATATTATCCTTGGGATTAAATATAGTTGAATGAAACCCTACTGACACCTTACCAACACCCTACAGACACCCTACCAACACCTTACCAACACCCTACAGACAACCTACTGACACCTTACAGACACCCTATAGAAATCCTACTGACACATTACCAACACCCAACAGACACCCTACAGACACCTTACCAACACCCTACAGACAACCTACTGACACCTTACCAACTTCCTACTAACACCTTACCAGCACCCTACAGACACCTTACCAACACCTTACTGACAACCTACTGACACTGACACCACACCAACACCCTACTGACCCAATACCAATACCCAACTCACACCCTACCAATACCCTACTGACACCTCACTAACACCCTACTGTCACCTTACCAGCACCATACAGACACCCTACCAAAAACTTAATAACATACTACTCACAACCTATGGGGAAAGGTCTTGTTCATTAGTTTTCACCAATACTTACGTAAAATAGGTAAGACCAAGAGTTATATTAAATTTCTCATCTAATATTGTCCCAATATCAGGATAAAGTCGATTAATTAGCGAGAAACCATGTTCTTCCCAGGAACAATCTCCTATCCGAAATGTTGAGATACTCTCTCTTTCTTCTCTGCTTGCAAAATCCTTGTAATGGAATTTTGGGTCATTTAAGTAGCGAGCCAGGTCAGAAAGTGGTGAGTCTTGAGATGTCCTGACTTCAGCCGTTGACTGAGCCACTATACAAAAGAACAAAGTTATTATTTTGATGAATAGAACTTTCTCTTGCATCAGCAAAGGGCCCACTCAAAATAATGGCAAGACATTGGACCATGTCTGACCAGAACTGGCACTCGTCCAGTCACTTTTACCTTGCCGGTCATTTTTTGACCAGTACATTTAACCAGAAATGAGGTACGACTGAGGTAAAACTAATTTGGCTTGTGATCATAACTGGCGACTGATTGGCCATYGTTTTAATCTATTTTGGAACAACAGGTTTTTGCCCAGCTAGCCTCACATTCAAGCACTTTAGGCTAAGTTTGCATAAGAATACACTTAAATATGGACATGATTCAAATACTAAATCTCTGTTTAATTCCTAATTTTCAAGGGAATGACAGGTAGTTTGAAATGGGAAATTGATTCTTTAATCTTAATGTGCTATGTACTCAATGGTTAACACTTCTACAAGTTTTTTATTCCTTTTTGACATTTTTCTTGGAAACTTTTAATCATTCTCTTTACGGCTTACCAATTATATTTTGATGTTTTGATATTGTTACATTGATATACAAACTCTGTCTATTGAAATGTGAAGGTGAAGTGCCAATGTCTAATTGATTAGTGACAAAGAGCACTATCAAAAACTTGTAGAAGTGTCCTGGCATGGTGCGTAGCACAGTAACAGACTTGACTTACATTCTCCACTTTCTAGCTTCTCAAAATGTTGAAACAATTCTTCTTGTGAGGCCTCCATGCCGACGTCTTGCTCTGCTAGCACCTGTTTCATCCTCTCCATCAACTCATCTCCAGTCATAGATGACTTGATGTTTGCATTCGTATTTAATGTTGCCGAATCAAAACTGGGCTGGTTGGCTTCATTCAGAGACGGAGGTCGAAAGGTATGGCCTGCTTCAAAATCAATTTCTGATACAACACCACAGCCGAACACAAAGCTAGACAATGAATGGAAATGGGCAAGAATGACAATGGCTTGGACCAGTTCGGATAGTGACCAATTATCCTGCCCTTTTAAAAGTTTCTGAAAAAGTAAATAGACATGTTTTATGACATCAGTTATAACACAGGGTTCATGCTGAGGTAAGCCCTTAAAATTCAAGGACTATTCAAGGAGTATACAAGGACCCAAAAATGAATATTCAAGGAGTATGTTCAGCTAAATATGCCAAGGTTTTACACGGTGGTTGCACATGGCCGACTTTCAGATTTTCTGATCTTTCTGACTAGATCTATTTCAGACCCATGCAAGTAATGATTGAAGCAAACATTCAAGGAGTTTTCAAGGAGTTTTGCTAAAATCGTAAAATTCAAGAGCTTTTCAAGTGCCCTTGAAAAATTCAAGGAGTTTTCAAGGAGTTTAAGGAGTAGCACGAACCCTGATAACAAAAGAAATCTTTTAAATCTTTTCAAATGAAATGCTTTTATTATTGCGATTCTCAATACTATTAAACGCAGTAGTTGTGAGTTGCCTGTTTTTTGCTGCCACCAATCAAAAAGCTCAAGTGATTAATTTTGACTGATTGCACAATGAGAAAACCAAATTTCACCATGCAGATTGCAGCTACAAGTTTCCATGATATCAAACTACTGTATAACAACTAATTCTACAACATACCTCCATCTGACTTGGGTCTATGAGCCATGGCTGGTGAGCAAGATACTTATTGATCTCAGACAGTCTTTGCAGCTTTCTCGGCACATGTTCCAGGCCCTTAAGCCATTCTTTATCTCCATTGTACTTTAGAAACTCTAGCTCATAGATATGGCCCTTGATGAATAACCAAGATATAAAATAAATATTAATAAATGTGTTTTAAAGGTAAAGCAAGTGCTTGGGAAATCAGACTGCTGAAGCTCAGAGAAGATTGAATAAATCAGACTGTATAAAGACTACTTACAAGATAGCAGCACTGATGTCTGCTTGCAGCCTTGAAGAAAACAACATTTAGAAAATTAGTGGGCAATATTTCACTAAAGGTACAGAAATAAATAAATCCAAATAAACCCCACCTCTTGGAAATCCCATTTCTCCTCTTTGGCGGAAGATATCAAATGGATATTTACTGGTACCACACAATATACCCTCCTCAGACCCTCCCCACCCCTTGGATATTCTTATGCCCTTCCATAAGGGAAGTCAGTGGAGGAGGTATGGATAGTTACATGTACTTGAAACAGGTGTATAGGATCCATACCATGATAGCAATGTAGTGTCTCCAGTCAAATGGTAATGGTCCTTCCCCTCGCATCAAATAAAACTCTGTTCTTGAAAACCAATCCAAATACTGAGGATGAATAGCCATGATGGCTGTGACGCTGGGCACACGGCCAAGGGCAAGGAAGGCTTCGACAAGAAGAGTGTGTGTCTGTTCATCGTCAGTGTTGATTGGAGGTACCTGGGGAAAAGACAGTCAAAATATAATATAAATTCTCAGTGTGTTTTGAATCATTAGTTATTCTCAATAGCAATAATTATTCACTTTAAGTTGGTTCTTTCTTGGTCTGTGACTTCATCAAATCCCTATTACCAGAGGAAAGAGGCCAATGAATTTTAACTAATGAAATCAACTAAAGTTATTTGTCTATCAATTTCAGCCATGTGTGCAATTTTTCTTTTAAGAAAATAAAAATAAAAATAAAAATAAGAAATAAATAAAATAAAATAATAAAATAATATTCACACGCTAAAATTATTTAATTAAAAATCTATTTGACAAAATCAAATATGATAAAATTTGAGCTTTGCTCCATAAATCTATTTACAAGCAGACGACAGCCTTCATAATGTCTAGCCATCTTGACATGCAGATTAGTGTCTGATGTATTAATCACAGTCGGAGACAGATTTCTATGGATCAATATTGTCACTATCGTGGATTAAAGTTTAATTAATATAGTCAAAATATTTTTTTCCGCCAACACTGATGAAATATGCTATATTTTCTATAAGATAAATGTGAATCTTTCAGTGGATAAGTTTTGTTTTCTTTGTTTTTGAGTGAAAGCTGTCATTTATCAAGACAAAAACCTTGTACATTGAGAAAATATTGAGCGCTATGAAAAAAACGTTTGCTGATTAAATAAATCTCCTAGGAGAAAAACTTGGAAGCCATCATATAGCATGTTTTCCTGTATATAAGAGAATTGGACTTAAATTTGGGTTAATATATATGAACCAAATTCAGTCTAGAGATATATAAGAGATAATAAACTATTATTATAAACCACATGTTTACAGAATTCTTAACGCAGGGTTAACCTCATCAACATCAAAATATTCACAAACACCAATAACTTAAACAATGGCCTTTTTCATTACCGTTTGCAGGCAAGCATGGAGCGTGGATCGTGGAGTGTGGATCGTAGAGATTGCATTTCTATTATTTTTCAATAGAAATCTCCACTAATTGACCCATATTTAACAACATCCTTAGACTCTTGACAATATCTTAGTACCGATACATTATATTTTAGAGAAAATCATTATTTGATCATGTACATCTAACATAATATTAAATATTCTATAGAACGGTCTGGAGAATGAATGAATAATACTTCGATTACCACAATATTAAATCTCAAAATTTTGATAAAATATATCACTCATTATAAAAGATGCTTGTTATCCATTGACTTGAGACTAAACTGTTGATATGTTAATATAGACTATGTTTAATTAATCTTTATAAAAGATGGCTCAAAATAGAAGCACTTTAGGGTATGCATATGGAATTTAAATAAGTGTACAATGTACACCTTCAGAAGAAAAAAACACTACAGTCTTCATCAACTTGCCCTTATCTTATACTACTGTATAAAAATATTATGATACTAAACATACAAAATAAAACAAATTCTACTAGTTATATCTTAATAAACTTCAACTTTAATCAATTAATATCCTTGCAAACCTCTCATCTGGATTTACTCCAGTATCAACAAAAGAAGAAGGCCCACATTTTAAAACAATTAATATATAGATGATGTAAGCCTATTCTTGGTCCTGCCTGAGCCACTGGTAAACTTGCGGCATTTAGACAAATAGATCTCATATGTCGGACAAAACGACTCAAATGGGAAATGTTTATGAGATGAATATTTATAACACAATTTAAGTCATTTTTTTTCTACTTTATCTGAAAATACTTTTTGATGAATCTAGTAGAATGCAAACAATATATCCGTGAAAAAAACCATAAAAAAACAATATATCTGTGAAATATTAGTAATACTAACTTACACTATTTTATGCTAATTCTATCGTTTTCTTTTGTTTAACTACTACTATTTTGAACAATTCAGTAATTAGTGATTCACAGATATATTGTTTGCACTCTAATGCAAAAATAGATTTCTAGAGAGAAGTGTTTGGATGTGGTAAATTGTTGGCTAACAGCAAGAAATATATATTAAACCCACATGGATGTGTTGAAAAACTAAATTAAAAAAAAAGGAATCCGAGTTCCATTTTGTCATACGATTTTGAATGTTACTCGAAGGTGAAAATTCATATTAGTTTACAGAAATATTTTCTCAAAAACATTAAATACACAATATCTCAGCACAAAACACATCTGAAGTAAAGTAAAATAATCGAAAATCAAAATTAATTCAATTAAGCTTTTCGACCAATGGGCTAAGTTCTAGATATTCACAGGAAAAAATCTATCTAAAATGATTATTCCCTGTGGAGAAATGCCTCACATCTCGAAATTTTGTTTTGAAAAGCAAAAATAAATTAGCATCAAAAAATCATTTTGTGCAGAATAGTCCAAAACTGTTAATCCGAAAAATTGTTTTGACATCTTGATATATGTGTACGAATCTATGCTAAAATGTTGTAATAAATATTTACGAGCAAAATCCAACAGTGTGGCCCAAACAGTAAGATTTAAAACTTAACCTCTTAAAAAATATATTTTAGATCAAATTTTCTGGATGAAAGGAATAACCTGATAAAGTCTGATATCGTGAGCTATCAGAGCAATATATAAGCCATTTTTTTATATTACTTTTAAAAGTCTTTGGTTGTTACAAATTTACTTTGAAAACGTCAGAAATCCGTAAATTTATTCCAAGTCTTGGACTAAAAGTAGACAGTAGTTTAACGTAATGTCAAAAAACTAGGAATATTCTTAGTTAAAAATCAAATGAGATATAACAGAGAAGACTGCCTATTTTAACTTTAAGATATGATAATTACTAAGATTTCAAAATATTTATTTGCGTCTTTGTTGGAGAATGTTGTCGAAAATAAAACTGAGATCAGGGCTTTGACAGAAAACATAAACAGTATGATGAAATCCTGACCAAAGGTATTTCAAATCTTAAAGAGATCTGATTTATGGGACAAAACTTGGGTTTAATGGAGTGTAGTATTGTTTTCTGAGGATGTTTGGTTGATATGAAGGGTTTAGGGCTTATTGATTTAGTAAGGGTGTCAAATTGATCTCAGTAAAAGTACTGAGTTGGAGAGAAAAACCGCGAGCATTTTATACAGCACAAAAAAAGCACCCGAGATGGCTGCATGGCATCAATAAAATCCCTACCGTCATTACAATACGTACCTCTTTTGAAGGAATAAAACACGAGGGGCCCTTGAAAAGTGGTCTAGGAACTAGAAAGCCTTTTAACTGTGAGGAAAAAAAGAGAAAATCGTAAGGGAAACCCAATCTATAAAACCTGCTTTGCCCGTCCTACAAAACAACGTCTTACGAACCTTCACATTTTCGACCATGTTAGCGCACTTTTCTCGAACATCCGGGAAAGGACATCGTAAAGAAAGCATTAAGACAGAAGGAAGAATTTCCATAAGGGACTTCTTGTCGTCTTTTTCTCCATTTCCTTCGCTCTTGCTCGTCCAAAGATTAATAATTTTTCCAAGTGAATCAAGATATCGCCGCCTGATAGCAGAATCCCTTGTCCGCAAAACACTAAAATCCCTCAGCGATTCGTCCTCTGCTAAGAGATCTTCGTCATCGCTCATGGTTCCTAACGAATCCTAGATGTTTTGTGCGCCAGAATTTTCAGTTTTTTTGGATTTTCGAGCACTTAAATTATCGTTTTACGAGGTTTATTTGGAGCAAATTTTCAAGTGTTTGAGGCGCTGAACAGCAAACCGACATGACAGCAGTGAGCCCACACGAAAAACAACCAATCACAGTGCTCGTTACATTGACGTCATGTGCACACCCCCTAAATCCCCATATTTGGAGGACAGCTTCGTGAACGTGAACATGCAAACTAAGTCCAAACCACAAAGTGCGTTACGCGTTACGATAAATTGAAATATTTTGTGCAAACAATATAACCGTGAAACTTTAGTCATACTAAATAGCACAATTTCATGCAAATTCCATTGTTTTCTATTGTTTKATTAGCAYTATTTTGTACTATTTAGTAATTAGTGTTTCACGGATTAWYTTTTTTGSACTCTACTTACAARWTATTATTATTTTATCACCAAGTTTCGCRATCTATCACRTGAACAGGACGCAAWTTGAYGGTTTTCAMGGCGSCCATGTTGGAGGAASTTAACRAAAGAATTGTCAATGAATTCTTTTGTTATATCMTCCAACATGGCCGCCGTGTCTTTTGTTATTTRATTCTCTTKGAAATGGTTGAAWACCATCAATTCTTGGAGCTAGACTTGGAAGATGAAACGTTTGCTTTTAAATAAAGTGGGTGCCCGTGAAGATGGGACAAAATAGCGTACTTCCCCCCTTCCCCTTCCCTGCTTCTAGTGGTCGTGGGAGGCGGAAATAAACAGCAACAATGACTTTATTAGCACCTTATGCTAAATACAAAATATTTCGGTAAAAGCTAATAACTGATTTTTTAGACAGCCTTTTAAGAGTACAATAACAACGATGGTTAGTTTGTATGCAGGCTGTAGGTACATACACGAATAAGCAAAATATACTTGAAAATTTCGTAAGAAAAATAGGGAAAAAACACGAGAATATATGTACCATAAGCAGGCGTGGTTTTGTCTGAAAAATGCCATAACGTATAGCAGAAAAAATACAAGCTTTTCCACGATAGTTGTCATCAATTCCCAAAAGAGAGAACTTCTGTTAGACTATTCTATCCTACAAAATGGCCAAACCATTCAGTTGGTTCGAGTCCGATATAGGCACTCAGATCTTAGCCAAACATCTGGTAACCTTTTTCAAAACAAATCTAAATTTGCGCTTTATAAAAAATTTTTAACTTTGCATACTTTGTAAAAGACAAAAATTTTCTAGGCAAGCTTATTTAGTCCACGCAAATTAGCCTTTTCTTTAACCAGTTGGCGTCAGCACTCGAAGAAAGGCTCCCAAAAAATATAGCAATTAACCGAAATTAGTCTCAAAGAACTACAAATGCCAGGTTTATCTTTAACAAGGTTGTCATGAAAGCTAGAAGTGTATAAGCCACGTGGCAAAACTGTAGTAGGGCTCTTTACCCTCCCTCCCTTCCCCAAGACAAAAGTGTACTGCTGAAATGAGCTCCATTTTTAGAGAAGCGAAACAACTCCTAGCCACAGAAGTCCCACAAAGTAGGGACAAGAWACGTGGACTACCGGCGAGGGGGCGCAATGACCAGTCATGGTGGTCGAAGGTTCTGTGGTTACGTCCACCGTAGTCGCAACTGAGGTTTGTCCCGCTCCAACTGTGGTGCTGATGATGGTAGAGGGTCTACCGGTGGAGGATGCAATGGCGAGTGATGGAGAAGCACCGTGGTTGCAGCTGTCATTAAAACAGCACTCAGCAGCACAGCTTATCAGGCTGTCGTTGTTTTGGGCGGCATTAGCTTGAGCCACGCTACAAGTCTCTTGGTTGCACACTGAAACTAAGAAAAAATAATGCGTTCAAAGTTGGAAGCTCGACCCCTCTTTGCTGTAACCTAATACTGGAATTTCTAACACACCCGGCCCTCCATTGATCCCATGATCAACTAAAAAATGGAAAGTATGAAAAAAAGAATACAGTGTTTTAGTGTGTCAAGAGGTTATATTCCCCAAAGAAGAAATTGTTTTCTTTTTTTTTCTTTGCTTCACAACATGGCTGCCACAAAACCTTACTCTCATTTCACGAATATGTCACCTCTACTAACCATTTGCAATCGATGGAAAGGCACAGTGTCTAAAGTGACCGGTTTGCTGTGTACCATTATCATCAGTGTACACGAAAGACGTTTTATAACAGCCTAATACAGTGTCACGTGTGCAGTTGRCATAATCTGGGCTGAACGGATTGCAGTTCTGGTTGTCATGACTACTACAGTTTAATATCCCAGGAGCAGAACAGTTAGGGAGATTTGGTATCTCATCAAACATATTGGAACCACAATATTCACACAAGATCGATAGAGATCCTAAAAAAAAGAGAAAGGAAAGGAAAAAAGTTCATTAACAAAACTGATATGATTTTATTTTACGATGTACGGAATAAAATTCAAAATTGACTGAACTTTGAAGAATTTTGAATGTGCAGAATTTCACTACTGAAATAAAGCTTACAAACGCCATTGCTTTTAGTTATTCAAACAGTGAATTTCCAAATATGTAGTTAAGCGAGCTTAATTGTCGACATTTGTAGAAAATAAGAGCCAAGACCGGCAGTACTCTTATGTGAAAGACTCACATACGACAAGAAGATGTATGAATAGCTGTTGCTAGTTAATTAATTTTTCGTACATGTTTTGTTAAAGAATAGATAGAGAAAATAAAAAAAGAGCACAAAGTAAAGAGATAGAACAAAARAGAGAAAGTCTTCAACTGATCAGGAGAAAGCCTGCGGACGTGACAAATCGTTTTTCCTTTGTAGTTTTCATTTACTGATTGAARAGAAACCGATTTTGATATGAAATGAGTGGCTATTTTGAATTTTTTACCCGAACTTTTAAGCTTAAACTGCCACCCAAAAAGAGTTAGCCTGACAAATATCTAAAGGAAAGTTCTCTATCTTAGAAAACGAGATTTTATTTCACTCATGCWCGGTGGTCTTAACTGAATTTCTTTTGAAAATCCAGTTCAAAAAAGCCGGTAAGTTTGCTAAAAGAGGTTTGAACTTTATCTTAATCAGTCAGTGAATGACCTGAAAAGAAAGATTAATTATTGAAAAATACCTAACCTGTAATTGTACATGCCAAGATGAATAGTTTTAGCTGGTTGTCCATAATAARTCGTACAGTTTTTAAAAGATTTCAGTAAGATTTTACTTTACTGGGAGCCACCTCTTGCAAACGCGTCTTTTCTAGTGACTTTCAACCGAGCACATTGACAACTAATCACGTGACCAAAATCCTCACCGTTTATTGGCTGATACTCGATTTAGGCCCTTTCTACAATGACGTCACCAAGAAGATTTTCATATTTTGGCAATCCAGCAATCTTAAAAATGATTTTAAAAAATACAAGTTCTTTGTCTTTGAAATTTAATGAATTTTTTCTTTCATGGTCTTAACTAGTTTTAAAGACAGCCGGTAAGTTTGAAAGCGATTTATTTTATTTTAATCAAAGAATCAGTGAACTATTGATGTCTYATCTAATGAATAGTTTTCGCTTGTTGTCAATGATAAATCGTAGAATTTTGAAGATTTCAATAAAATTTTCAGCTGTTTTTTCAGTTCCCTGCCGGTTTACTGAAAACTCGTCTTGGGTAAGGGTAAGCCGCAGCCAATCACGTGATCAAAATACTCACCCCTATTGGCTTATACCTGATATAGGCGTGACGTATTTTTTGTTACTATAGGAAGAAAAGAATGAAAAGAATAGAATATCAACGTACTATGAGAAGTTGTGTCATACTTTGCCCTAATTGAACTTTTTATTTWAAAAAATACATACAAAGGCCGGAAAAATTTAGAAAATGGCAGTTTACTCAGCTCTAGTTTATGGTTAATAGTTTATAAATAATGAATTCTTTATAACAAGAATACRCCAAAACTAGATGAAATGAGACACTAACCTAATTGGGAATGTCACATTAGGGTGTTGCCGGTGTCGCCATATTATCTACTTGCGTCCAGCGCTCAAGGAGAAAGCGCCGTTACCGTACGTAGGTGCCACGCCATAGTTTCAGCTATAGKWGTGCCACCACCATGAATATATACTTCTTTACCAAACTTGACCTGATTCGACCGAGAGTTGAAAACCACATGCGTGACAAGAAGACACAACAAAAGGCAGCGATGATCATTACGCAACACACAGCCGAAGTCAAGGTGGAAGTTAACGACTGGTGTCACAGCCAGACAAAGATTTTCGAGAGAGAAAGGTTTGACCAGCAATTGAGGAAACTGGTCCTTGTGTCATCCCAGGCAATAGCAAATTCTGCTAGATAGACAATAGGTCGATTGTCAGAAGACACAGAGATCACATTACTCATTAGCCTGGCTTTCACTTGCCACAGTAGAATTCGTATTTCCTCCTCGAGTGGGATCAAAATCTCGTCCTCCAAACAACTAGTTCACAGTATCTGTTTTAAAGAGAACTACAAGGATCACGAGGCAATTTTATTTTATTTTCAAGGGACAATAAACAAGATAAATATTTTCAAACCAAATATCCGCGATCAGAGTTTTAAATTCTGAAATATTCTAGCAGTAATTTATTGAACTTGTGGAACATAGAAACGGTTATGACTACAGGGAATGGAACCAAGGTTGATCATARCGGAAGTAATTCATGTGATAAATTGAAAGTGAAGACCGCTCGCCATAAGCATAAGCACAAGCCAAGGAACAAGGACATCTTCGGACTCTCCCGATTATTGACCATTAGATTATTAGGTTAAGTCCTAAGGACCGACTTAGGTCAGTTTMGTTTAAATCATTCATTCATGCCGTTTAGTCGATAGGATCTATTGTAATTGGGGAAAACCTGTAGTAGATTCCTAGCCTCTCTTATTTGATCTCTTATTATTCAGCGAAACATTTTGTAGTCTCTTTTCTTTAACCCACTAGCTATTGATAACCTAAGAGTTGGCTATAAGTAAAATTTAAAAAAATTAAATTTAAAAAAAAAAAAAAAGATTCTGCTTCTGACGCGCTTCCGCTTCCGCTTTCTGGTTTTCACTTCGTCATGAGCTGCTAACTGCTCCGATTCTGTCGCAAGTAAAAGCAGCAGGGTAGCTATGCCAGACGATAGAACCGGAAATACCTGCTGTTGAGATCGACAATTAGAAGCCCCAACCCAACTTGCCCTCGGAGCGAACTAACTTTTTACTGAAAAAATTTGCTGTGATTTGAAGATTTGAACTTTCAGAATTGGCTTCATTAGTTTATGTACATTCCATTGGATTTATAAACAGACTTAGGGATAAGAGATGTATAACATATCTGTGGACACTATTCATTATCGATATGATAATGCCGATTACGTCCATGCCGTTACAGGTCACTGCTCCGTAAAATAATACGTGGTTTGGATCTTCCGTTATTACAACACGATCGGCATCAGGTGTTGTAGCAAGAACAGCCATAAATAACCTTCTGAAACCTTAATCTTGATCATTTTTCAAGTTGTGTACCAGCACAAACCTACTGCACTAATATTATCATAGTACTATTGGTCATCAAGATCATCAGGTGTGGAATAGCAGCATAGAAATTACCTTCTGAAACCTTAACGTTGATGATTGTACAAGTTGTGTACCAGCACAAACCTACTGCACTAATATTATCATAGTACTATTGGTCATCAAGATCATCAGGTGTGGAAGAGCAGCATAGAAATTACCTTCTGAAACCTTAACGTTGATCATTGTACAAGTTGTGTACCAGCACAAACCTACTAAAGCATACTAGCGTTTCTTCTTCCTAACRAACAAGGTAAATTTTACTTCAAAATGATCATTGATTGTAAGTCTTCTAATCTTCTTAAAGAAACATCCTTTTTCTTCCTCGTTTTTAAAGATAGACTCAGTTTTAGCTGATCTCATGGTATCACATTTTATTATATTTTAACAGATATCATCAAGATAAGAAATCTTTACAACAAAAATGAACAATTCAACACAAGATAACGAATCTTTGCAATGGACACCACCTATTTCAGTTTATACTAATAGAACTATGATAACCTTGTATTTTATTCTATTTGTCTGGTCTCTTCTTGGAAACGTACTCGTTATCGCTGTCGTGTATTGCAATCAAAACTTAAGGACAAATGTAAACTACTTGATTGTCAATATGGCTGTATCAGACTTACTCGTTCCGTTGGTAGCTATGCCATGGGGTATTTGGATGTTTGTGACAATTGATGGTAAATGGTTAGTGGACGGTCCCCTTGGTGAGGCACTGTGTAAACTGGTTCCCTTCCTCTCTCATATGTCACCATTTGTATCATCTATCAGTCTGGTTATCATCGCCTTTCAAAGATTTATCGCTGTTGTTTATCCAACTCGACGACAGATTTTAAGTCGTAAAACAAGATGGATTGCGATCGCTTTCCCTTGGATCGTAGCCATGGCTCTCTTCTCTCCATACTTTTACACATATCGTCTAACAAATGAAAGTGGCTACACGATGTGCGACTATTCATGGTTACCAGCATTTGATTATTGGAATGCTGAAATGATATTGACTTGCATACTAACTGCGGTGGGGTTTGTTATTCCATTCATCATAATCATAATCTTGTATACTATATTAGTTTATAGACTACATAAAWGCTTGAACAACGTCATGGACGTGATTGGAGAAGAAACGAAACAGTCACGACAGAGGAGAAACAGACGAATATTTAGCATGTCACTAACTATGGTTTTGTTATTTTTCATCTGCTGGTGCCCTTTCCATGWATTGTATTTTCTGTTCCTCAGCAAACATTCACTATGGTCAGATAACGTTGAACTTGTGACAAAAATGTCATTTGCGTTTGTCTATCTGTGGTACTTTCTAGCGGCAATCAATCCCTGCATCTATTTTATGTTTCTGAGGGACTTTAGACAAGGACTAAAAAGACTTTGCTGCAGGAAAACTGCACCAGCAATTTTAAAACCGATATGTAAACGRCCCAGAACACCAGGTGGAGATAGTAGCCAGGACCCACGTACACCACCTCACATCAATACCACTTCAGTCTAGGATGAACATCAACACTAGATGCACCAGAACACCAGGTGGAGATAGTAACCAGGACCCAACATGTACACCACCT